TAGGTCAAATGGTTTAGTGTAATTATATTTATGTAATTAACTCGTTATTTTGTTATCTCTCCTCTAAGTAAAGTAATTTTGTGAGTTTCACTATATTTTTTTTTATTATATGATTTGGCCAATGAAAATCTGCAAATGCCGTTTGAGTGGATGTCACTTGTTATATGAGGTGGCAGTAGGAATAATAGAATGAGACAAGACCAATAATTCAACAAAACAATACTTTTCAATGATTATATAATAAAAATAAGTGCAAATTTCATTCTAATTATTTTTGGACATCATTTAATTTTTTTTACCAAAAATAATTATGTTGAAATCATATAGAATTACTATAATTGACAAAAAAAAAAATTAAGCTAACGCAATTACAAATTTATAACTACAACCCAAAAGTATTTATTAAATTAAATAATCTCACTAATATGGTTCGCGTTTTTTTTTTTTTTTGTATGATGAGATTATCTACGGTAAAAATATGTTAGAAATGATTATTAAACATGTTTCAACTAACATTCTTAATTAAAAAATGTTTTTTTCTTGGCCTCTTCGAACACAACTTATGTAATTAAGAAAAGAGGAAAAATTAAAACGTAAATATTTCGTCCTTGTCATCAAAGTCACTAGCATGTTTTTCTTAAGCACGAGATTCGAAAGAAAATAAGTATATCAATAATTAAGTTATTAATTATTGTTATAGTTAAGCCAGTTCAATTCTAATCTAAAGATACAACGATTCAGGGCTCATAATTAAAAAAATTCAAAAAGTTAATTTATATATATATATATATAATATTTTTGTAGATAAATTAAAAATATTATTTTATCATTTTTATATTTTAACAAATATATGACTATATTCTTAATTGTTTGTTTTTTATATATTATTTTTATCAATTTATTTTAAATAAATTTATTGTTCAGTATGACATAATATACAATAAATATACACGGAAAAAGGTATTATTCAAAAATAAAATTAGTAATATATTAATAAAAATAAACTACATATAAGATTTAATTTATTATGATAATATTTTATTAATAATATACAGTAACATTAAAATAAATTAAATGAAAATGTGATACATCTTTTCTAAATTTATTAAAATTATATTATTTATTTCATGCAATGAAATATGTTATTTTTTATACATCTGTGTTTCTGTGTGAAGTCGAGGAAATAGCTGAATGCACCAATCAGTGGTTTATTTATTTATTTATTTATTTATTTGGATTTCCATTAATGCTACCTAGTGTTCATGTACGAAATTGTAGATAAAGGAAAAAGAAGAAGAAAAAAAACTCAAAGATGGAAGATTCAACATTGCCACAAATTAAGGCTCAAATATGTATTAGATCTTTATAAACATTACGATTTTTTTTTCTTCATGTTAATTTTTTATTATTTTAAATTTTTGACATTTGTCTATTTTTTTAGTAATTCAAATTAATTTAGTGTTAAAATGAGTAACGAAATATGAAATATTAAATACTAATTAAGACAACAAAATATTAAATATTCTTTTTTTTTTTTTGTTTTGCTTTAATTAAAAACTATTTTTCACTCATCCTACATTCCTTGTGTGTACTTGTCCTTAATTTTGATTCTCTAACACACCGTTGAAGACATGAAATAAATGCTTTTACGATTTACGATTAGATTACTAGGTTCTAACTTCATTCTACCTAGAAGTCAACAACACAAATGAATTATTCTTTTCAAGTCAAGTGGCAAAGATTTGTACCTTCCGTCCTTTCCAACAAAATGTACGAACTTTATCAAGTGATTTATGTTTGTGTTTTTAAAAATATACAATATAAGTTGTTGCTTTGTATAATTTTTTTTATATACTTTTAAAATATGTGTGTATAAAAATGTAAATAAGATATAAAAAGTTATGTACAGTATCCAAATGCTGTCAATTTTTTATATTCAATAATAGAAATGATTTATTTAATTACCTTATACAAAAACCATTTTATTTTACATCCGTGATTTGGTTTTATCATATAAGATACATATTAAAAGTTGATCTAACATTCAAGTAAATATTCAATTTTAAAGTACTTAAGAAACATTAAATATCGCTTAATTGTATCTTTTTTACTTTACCAAACATTATTATTTATATTAGTTTTAATCGATCTAATCTTTTGAGTTTATTACACATGTCAATCATTATCATCTTGGGTTAAAATGTCTTTTATGTTTTATCTTTAGTTTTGGCTATTGGCCTCAACTTCAATTTCGGTCACAACTAATATGTCATTTATGTTCTACCAATTATTCTAATAATATGAGTTTTGATTGTGTACCCAGCTTTGACAAATCATTTTTTTATATTTTATTTTGATTTAAATATGTTGTTAATCACTCAAGTTTAAGGTGAATTTATTTTTAAATTTTTAAAATTTAAATTTACTTTTTTAATCTTTGTAATTTTTAAAAAAATTATTTTAATTTATTAAGTCACCAATAACATATCTGAAAGTAATAGATTGAGACAATTACGTAGTATCATATAAATTTAATGTGATGTTTTTATTAACAATGATATTAATAAGTAGATTTTATACGACAATATTTTAGTATAAGGATTAAAACAATTTTTATAGAAATTATAGGGATTAAAAAGATCAATTTTAAATTTAAGGAATTAAAAACTTATTTAAGCCTTCTATCTCTTAAAATGTCTTCCCTCTGGACCCATATATAAGCAAAAAATATTTAACTTTTTTAAACTAAAATATAAACATGATTCACTTAAAGACACTCTACCTCATCATTACCAAGCGTAGGTGGGTTGGCACCAAGTGCGGGCAAGCACAAGGCTCTCTGTCTCAATGACGCTGGATGCGAGAAAGATGACGCTAAGCATGGTTTAGTGAAATAAAATTTGATGTTCTAAGTTATCTAACTATTAAAGTATGATGATTCATTTATATAAATGATGTGGTGCAATTATAGATCATTACACATTTTTTAGGATAATGTATGGTGATGTTTAAAGATGTTTTAGTTGTAAGTTGTTTATGGATGATAATTGATGAAATTGATTAAGCCTTAAGATGTGTGTTGTTTTTGAGTTGTATGCAATAAGTTTCTTTAAGTTGTATAATCATGTGGTATTGAGATACATGAAAACTATAAGAGAGTAAAGTTGTTTTAAAATTTAAAATATTTCATCATGTGAATATAAGTTGTGGTGCTCTAAGAACCCAAAGTTAAGAACCTTTCAACAAGTAAATTGGCTTATAAGTGGATAATTATTTTTTAAGTTGTCTCCTCTTAATTTTATGTGAAAATAATATGGGAGTCGGGTCGAGTCATATTGATTATAAAGTGACCAAAATGTTGATCTGTACGAGGATAAGGCCGAGTCATATATGTATAAAGTGATTAATTGAATAAAGTGTGAAGTTGAGGGGTAAAATTCTAAACTGATTGCTAAGAAGATGCATAGTATTTAGAGGGTAGTTGATAGACTAATTCTATGAATCTTAGATATGCATACTAAGGTCATGGTAGATTTACACCCAAGTTGTTTTACCCTAAAAGTAGTATTAGACTTTTTTAATTTAAGTATCGAAATTTAATAAATCAATTTAAGTTGTTTACTAGGTACTTTGAGAGGCCTAACATTGTATCTACCTAATGTGATTGTGAAAGGTTAGTTGTAGTGATTTGACATGGTCATTGTTCACCTTTGTTATAGGAGATCTCAATAGGTTTATACGTGTAATGAAACATTAATTGTTTAATATTATTCATGTTGAGAATGTTGTTTGCATTGTAAGTTGTTCAATTGTTCTCGTGTTATTGGCAAGTTGAAAAGTTGTTAAGTTGTATTGTGTTGTAAGTTGTAATTAATTATGATAAGTTGATGTTATACTAAGAACTAGCTTGTTGTTGTTTAAGTTGAGCTTATTTGATGGAGTTGTATTTCTTATATTATTATGATGTTGATTTTTCAATAAGTTTACCTTTTTTTTCTTGTGATTAAACTATAATAACTATACTTGGCATGAAAATAAAACAGTGTTAGCTTGGTGGCTCAAATGCTATAACAAATAAAAAAATAAATTTAACACAACTTTTCTAACTTTTGGCAAATAATTATTTATTTTTTGATAAATATTTGATTTTAATGTCTTTCTAACTAACATTTATTCACATATCTTAAGTTATATTAGCTCTCAATGCATTAACACATTTTCTTTCATACATTTGAAATTGAACAATGTGTTTAAAATTATAGTTTTCATTAACTAATAGTATTAAAAATGAGAACTTATCCACTAATTCAATTGAATACTCATCAGAACGACATTCTTTATGAAAAAGGTTATGTAGTACTACATACTAATACAAGTTTAAATTTTTGTCTTAAATAGAAATAAAGATCCTAACTTAAAAATTATGAAACATGATTTAACAATACTAAATATTCTCTCAATTACATTTCTTAAGGATGTATAGTATAAATTAAAATCTTCATTTTCATTTACGGGTTAATATATATTTCAAATTTTCATATTTTAATATTTAATTTTGTTAAAAATAAACTGTTAAATTTTAATAATTTAAAAAGTTTAACAATATATAGTATTTAATAATATAGAAGTTATTTTAAATATTTAATGATAAATAAATTTACATCAATTGATAGATAAAAAAATAAGAGAAGAAAACAAAAAATAAAATAAAAAAAGAGATAAATGAGAGAAATGGATAAAAAAAAGAGAAAGAGAAAAGAGATAGAAAAGAAAGAGAGAGAGAGAGAGAGAGAGAAAGAAAGAAAGAAAGAGGAAGAAAAGAAAGAAAGGCGAGAGAAAAAAATAATATGAGAAGAAGAAATAAATGAGAGACGAATAAAAAGAAAATAAGAAAATGAGATAAAGAAGAAAAAAAAAAAGAAAAGTAAGAATAGTGAGAGAATAACAGAGAAAAAAAATATGTAAGAGAAACGAGAAATGTGAGAGAAAAGATTTAAAAAAAAGAAAAAAAATAAAAGAAACTCTTATTGTTTTTATAACAACCCGCCTAGCCGTCACATAACAAAACAACACCGCATAGAAGTAGAGTATGCCTATAATGGAGTAAATATATATACATATGTCTAGTCTAGGGCTCAACAAGTCAGTATCTAAAACTAACAAAAATTGCTACACCGAGTAGCCCACACCAAAAGTCAGCTCCTGCTACCACCTGTAGCCCTGCTACTACTCTCTAGCCTATCCCTGCTCTGCTCCCATACATAGTATGATCATTGCAGTCCAACCCACATGGAAACAGGCAAGGGTAAGCTAGTGAAAAAGAATCAACATATAGTTAAATAATAAGCAACTTTCAACTTAACAGCAACATCATCATCCTCAACAGATTTAACATACAACACATAACAACATACAACTCAATCATAGCTACACAACACACTGCACATATACAACTCATATCAACATCAAATCAACACAACAACAGCTTATGTGTCGTCACGCATTCCAACTCGGAGATCTCCTACAACATGGGTGAGTAGTTTAAGTGGCTAGGTCCTATCGAACCAACAACAAAGAACCTTTTTGGGCTTGCTAGGTAAACAGTAAATTTGGATGTCAATCCACAGCACGATAACGATTTCTGAGACTTTGTCATCATCACAACATAGTCAACATACAGCAGCTCAACTTAACATCTTTAATAGCATAATCAACATACAGCACAACTCAACTTAACATCTTTAACAACATAATCAACATACAACACAACTCAACTTAACATCTTCCCATCATATTCAAAATTCAACATTTTCTAAGTCATAGTGTAAAACACTTCCAAGCCCGGCGCAATTAAACTCACGCTCGGCGTGAACCCAACCCGAGAGCTCTAAAGCTCTTACATGCCTGGCATATCCTCATTACGCCCGGCGCAATAGGAGGTAGAGACTTTCAAAAGTCTCTCAAGCCCAGCGTACCAAGCTCGTGCTCGGCACAAATAAGGTAGAGACCTCACCAAGGTCTCACGCCCGGCGCGCTCATTCTGCACCCAGCGCCACCCTAGGCAGAGACCCCCACGGAGTCTCGATACCTGGCGAGATCGAATCGCACTCGGCGCCATGCCAGTAACCCAAATTTTTGAGCCACTATCTGATATCACACCCAACGCGGTTCTCCCCACGCCTGACGTGATTCATCCAGGGACTTCCATTTTCAACCTCGCCCGGCGCAACCAACCTAGCGCCCGACGTGCTTGGACAATGGAGTTCCCTAATGAACACACGCCCGATGCCAAGAATTACGCCTGGTGCAATTTCAAACCGCAACCCTAACAACTTCGAAATTTTCAAACAAAAACCTACAAATCAGCCAGCTCAAACACATGCAATCCATGAAATGAACTACATTTACATCATACAACTCAAGAACAAGCTCTATTTCAACATGCAACCATCAAACGCATCAAAATCACCATTTTCCCAATTTTCCTTGAAACCCCGAAAATGAACAACTTTCTTTTCCAACCATTAATCTTCTGAAATCAAGCATCACTTAAGTTCCTAAACGCACTTACGACCCATCCGCATGCAATCTAACTTCCCTTACCTTGGAATGGGGTAAACGACGAACTCCGCACGTCTTTGAGTTTGAAGGAGATGAAGAAGGGTTGATGGACCACCTTGGTGCTCATCGCCTCAGCCTTATAGGAAAGAAATGAGAATCAAGGTTTAGAGACTTCAAAGAAAATGGAAGTGAAAGAAGAAAGGAAAATGAGAAAGAATGTGAGTTTTTGGGTGTTGCGGGTCTTATAGTTTTGATTGTCACATAACATTTTTGTATTAAAAAAAATATTGATTAAATACAACAAGACTTTTTTTTAATATTTTTTAAAAAATTTATTAAAATTATAATTTAGTATATCTCTCTAAAAAAATTTCTATAAACTTTCTTGTAAAAATAATCTAAAATTATTTTAAAATAAAATAAAAATTTTATATTTAATATATAAAACTTAATTTGACCATTATCACAATTGAATGTAAGATTTAAAAACTATAAAAGAAAATACAATAAAATACATGATATATCAAGTAGGGGTGTTCAATAATGGGAGTTTTTAAAAACTCAATTCAAATTGAACGAATTAATTTTATCGGTTAATTAATCTGTTTTTTTTATAAATTGTGTTCAACTTTTTAAAAAAATGAATTTTTTTTTTGAAATTAAATCAATTTTTTTGGTTCGTCTATGGAGTAATGACTAATCTCCTCACTACGTTGGAGGGGTGGAATAGCTGGTCTCAAGATTTAACGCGGCTGTATACATAAGGTAGGATTCGAATCCTTGACCTTACTTAAGCGTGGATCAACCCCTACTGCTAAACCACACACTTGAGGTTAAACTAAATCAATTTGATAAAATGCTATTATTCACTTTTATATTCATATATAAATAATTCTTTTAAAAAAAATTAATCGAATCAAATTCATCCATTTTATAGAAAACGAATAGATAATCCATTTTACAAAATGAATTACTTCAAATTTTTTCCCAAAACAGATCTTAGATCGGTTTAGATTTTTTTTACAGCCCTAAGATGATGTTGTAAGGTGTAGAGCACCGAAACTTAATTGGATCATCCCATGAAATTTTTTAATGTTATATGCCCCCCTTCACCGCCACACTTTGGGCGTGATCGATGTATCGCCGCACCGCTACAAAAACAATAAAAAAATAATAAATAATATATCTGCATATCGTATACAATTTTTTAAATTGTTATTTAATTATAATATGTTTATTTTTAACTAATTATAATTTGTTATGTACGGTAATTTTTATTTGTATTATGGAGGAAACAATAATTTATTTTAAAAATATTAAGTCAAATAAATTAAATCGTACATTATTAATATATACAAAAAAGGAAAAATATAGGATAATACTCGTATTAACTTATTGTTAGAGGAAATTTTAATTTTCTAAATAATAAAATACATCCTTTGTAAATCATCAGATTTTTTTTTTAAAGATATCTATTCTTTGAATTATAATTTTGTTAATCAAGCATGAAGAAAAGTTGGTTGGCATTGTGAGAAAATTTTGAAACTGAAGACTGATAGCAACTCCTTTGGCAATCCTGGACAGCTGGTTTTCAATGTTCATGTAGATATATTCACAATCTGACTAAATGCTAAACTTTTTGTCATCATGCATGGTCTTGAACTAGCGTGGTCTAAAGGCATTAGGACTCTCATCTGATTCTAAATTTGCACTTTGCTTGTGCAAACTGGAACAATATTCTCTCACCATTATTTGTTGGATTCAGTTAATTGTCAATAGAAATTGGAATTAATGTCCTTTTCACTTATATTTTCAGGGAAAAAGATAGATGTGTTGATTGGTTAGCCAAAATTGGTTCTGAATCGCATATTACATTGTTACTTGGTCAGTTTGTGGCGTCTTCTTGAAGATGGAAATAACACATCAATGTCTATTTGGTGGAGGGAGCTTTGGAAGATATGTTGGGAGGATAGTCAATCAAGATGGTTTGACAATTTGGTACAATAAAGAGTTGGTAGTGGCCATTGGGAAGATAAGTGGGTGGGGGAGGATTTCCTAGCTAACACATTTTCTAGTTTATTCATCAAATATGAACAACACTCTATTATTGCCAACGTGGGAGGATTCCCTAGATAACACAGTTTGTGAGCTTAAGGACCATAAGTTTGACAAGATACAGTCCAAAACTTTTAGATCTCACGACCCAATTTGTCTAGACCCACCCAATGACCCAAACAAAACATGAGAAGACTATGCCCAACTTTCTTTTAACCAATGGTAAGGTCTCGTATGCAATGAAATAAGCCCAAAATGTCTATCAAAATATTACATTTGGGGAGGAATAGCCTCGAGTGTACCAAATTCCTAGAAATCGACCTTGAACATTAAAAGTCAATTATTGGAGATAAAGCAAAGGAAATAGTTTCATCCTATTGAATCTATCAAAATTTGTATTTAGGTCTCTATATCTATAGGTAAGTGACATACCAAGTAAAAGAAGTGTATATAACAAGAGGGTGTGAAGAGTAAATCTCGATCATAAAACTATATATAGATGTTGGGATTTATAAGGTATTCAACGATAACATGGAAAAATAGATAAATATTTATTTTATATTTAACTACATATTTATAAAGTATTATTTTAAATATTATTTTTTGTGAAATGTATTTTAATAATTAAATTTAAAAAATGAACCGTGTTGATATATATATATGATGATAGTTTATTTCTTAATTTATATCCTTAATTATTAAGTAAAATCAAATTTTATAAATTATTGAAAATTTTAATATATATAAAATTATTACTTTTAATTATTATTATTGAGGAAATATATTCAAAGTAGCTTATGTAAAAAAAACCATAATTATTAATATAATATTTATTGTTATTATTATAATATTTATATACCTAACTTTTTCTATCAGTTTTCAAATATATATTATTAAATTAAAATCATCAAGATTGTATAATAAATATAATTAATATGTATATTTAATTTTTTAATTACTTAAATTCATTTAACTCATTATAAAGTATAAACACTATCACAACCTCATATTGGAATTACTTCTCTTATTTGATATGCTAGAAGTGTTTATAATATATATTTATTTCTATATTCTTTTTATATACAATATAATATGCTTTTATAGGTAAACTATAACTTTACAAAGCCGTTTTTAGGATGTAATCAAATTGAATGAACTTTATTGTATTGTTATTTGTGCTATTTTTTTTAAATAGTTGTTTTAAAATATATTTCACAAACTATAATAATTAAAATTAATTAAGAAAGTTGCATTAATATGTACATCAACTTTATATGCATATTAATAGTACATAAAAAATGAATTATATGTTAATTTTTTGACAAAATTATTAGTAAGCCGAATTAATTATTGAAAACATCAACTTTAATGAATGAATGATTTTTTTTTTGTATTTGTAATTTTAATGGAGTAAATAATTAAGATTTGATGAATTTAATTATATTAAATTATTATTTAATGATATTAAAATAATGAATAAAATTATTTTAAATTTAATATTATTTATAGTTGTTAATTAAAATTAATATTATATTACCATTACCGACGGCTGGCTATTGAATTGAAAGATTGCATTTTCTATATAAGTTCGAGCAAATAGAAAAAAAAATCCTATTTCTTCATTTTTCATTTTATTTTAATATTTTTTCTATATATTAATGACAAATTTTTTGTAAAACTTCATTACATGTAGCACCTTGAATTTTCTATAATTATTAAACAGATATTTTAATTAATTAAATGAGTTTTATAAATATTTTTAGAAATTTTTAATTATTATGAGTGTTTTTAATTAAATAATAATGTTTGCGAAATTATTTTGTACAACATTTATTGAAGAAATATGTGTTCTTATAATATTTTGTTATAATAAGTATTTGGATAAAATTATTTTTTTATAATTATTTTATATATTTTATTTTATTCATAATTGTGTTGGGAGAAATATGTTTATTTTATATATTATTTACAAGTTTTAATATTTGAGGAAAGGAAAATTGATTATGGTTGAAGTGTTTTACTAATGAGGTTAAAAGTGGGTTAAGAAGTTAATTAAGAGGACTTACGTCATTTTCATTCTTACGCTTTCATTTTTCTCTTTACACTTGTGCTCTGAAGAACTGAGAGAATTAGGATTTGTTGGAGATACATGAAGATCCACATCCTTCATGTTGTGTTCATCATGATAAGGAGGGAAGTGAGTAGTATCACTTTAGACGTGAGATGTATGTTGAGTAGTGAGATTGACCCTAATATTTTATTTATTGTATGTATTATATAAGGGAAAGATATCAAACTTTGACTTAACTTGTGTTTCTACTTCTCATATGATTTCTCAGTGCTCTAATTAATATTGTCAATATATATGTGCATTTAATTGCATGTAATTAATTGTGGATCTTATATTACCTATGATTTCTTGTGAGAATCCTAGGGAATAAACGTGTTGAGTTAATATGGGATAATTGAGATGAACATGTGGGAGTGTGAAGTTGTTGTTGGATTTGAGTAATTGATAGTATAATAAAGTAGTATTAAGTTTTAATCAAGATTTTTACTGATTGATTTGAAGTTTTGGATTTATAATGTGCGATTATTAATGTGTGATATTAATACGTTGCGAGACTTATTAAGTTATTAATTTAAATACTTAGTTTGATGTTAATCTCCTAATGATTATGATTGAGGTAATATTAGGTGATATTGTGAACATTATGTATTTGAACCATGAGCATGTAATTCTTGTGAAATATAATGTGTTGTACTTGTGTGTGGACCATGTGATGGTCACGTGATGTAAAGTCTAAGTTGAGGCTTAATAGGAATAAAAACTGGGCATGTTGGCCTAGCAATGATATGAGTAATGCATGTATGTTGTGTACTTATGATAATGTGATAACATGATATTGCATCGGATTTAGTGTGACATGCATCATATGCATAAGTATTTTTGATAGACTCGATACAAAATACGCGCTGCTAGGGAAGGTCCCTCTTGTATAAAAATTTGGGGATTCATGAACTTAGGGATAGTCGGGTTTGGGAACTCTAGTTTTGTTTGTTTGTATGCATGGAGTGTAACTTGTACAATATTGTTGTCTCGATACATCCTAGTGTATTTCTTCGTAGTGTAA